AAAATTTAATACAAGGCTCCTGATATATTGTTACAATATCAGTTGAAAAATATTAAAAATACATAGGCACGATTTTTTTTTATAAGCATTTAAAGTTGGAATTTTGACAAAATTTATCAAAATCTCGAAAATTATCAATCGTTGGAATTAAAAAATTATAAAATGTTCAGTTTTTATAACTAAGAGTTGAAAATTTAAAACAAAGATTCTCTTAAATAATTCATACTGTAACCAAAAAATCTAAAAAATATATAAACACACTTATTTTTTACAGACATTTTAATTTCAAATTTAGACAAAATTTCATATTTAAACCAAGAATTACGATTTTAGTTATTTTGTTGTGATTGAATAATACTATTCGTGGGTACTTGAAACTTCTAAAGTGTACTATTATATATCTATGATAGTATCACGGTTTTTGTTGATGTATAACGCGTTATAAGTATCTAATGGATATTGTGATAATTTGGATGATTAATTTGGAATTTATTATAGGTACCTATTATAGGTCAATTTTTTGTTTAATACCATAGATATGTATATAATATGCCTTATACATAGACTGACATACCATCACCGCTCAGAATCGTTTTTCTTATACAATGATATTATATCATTGAATTCAAATTTAATACCATCCATTATACAGTGACCCACTTGTAACCTACTGTACAGCAGAGCGACACCCACTTGCCCACCTTTTTTTTATTTAGATTCTTTGTACTATGAATCGCTAACATATCTTACTCTCGTAGTTATGCATACATCCATTAAAAATATGTTTTTACATAGAAATCCGAGCTCTACTTATAAGGATAAGATTTTGACAAACATCAATATAGTTGGTCGTTACTAACGATTATCTTATATTTAATGTTTTGTAAATAGTGTATGTTTATTTCAAATATTATAGATAGCTTCGACGATCACTAGCATTAAAAAAAGAGCTTTAGAGACGATGGAGGCACCAGCAGTGGCAATTAACCAATGTATAGGTATTTATCAACAAATATTAAAATACTTAAATTGTGTTATAATCGCCCACGTAGGTAATAGGACATCCCACCTATTTTAATTACATTTAAAAGGAACCCCATCTAAACGTAGCACGTTACTCGATGTTTTCTACTTCTATGAAAATGTATGAAACTTAAATTTATTTTATTGAGGATTAACTTATTTTGAAAAATTTCTAGTAACGTGCAACGTTATGAGTTAATTTTTTATTTGTTTTAATTATTCCAATTGATCCAGTATTATTACAAATTATTATTTATTCAAAAGTTTTAACAGGAGTATGCAATTTACTTATATAATAATAATACATATTTATTTAATAATAATAAATATTTTAACAACCCAAAGGGTAAGAGTACAGTAAGTGTAAACTAAAAATATTGCTAAATTAACAATTGAAAGTACCTAGGTACTAATAATAATAAAAAAAAAAAAATAATAATAATAATAATAATAATAATAAACTACAATTTAACCAAATTAAACTGCATTACATGTTAAACATCAACAATTAAGTTATAAATACAAGTTTTTTAGCTTAGAACAGGATTCGAGAAAAAAATCAAAATTATGTATTAAGTTACATGATGTTGGTAGGCGGCACACCAGACTATTAATTAAGTAATTTTTATTTGAATGAGGAATAGAAAAGGGTGGGCTAATTAATCTTGAACTAAAAGAAGGTACTTTGTAATAACTCAGGACAGTCGATACCACCATTCAAGATTTTATAGACAAACGTGATATCATTTACTGATCTTCGTGTTTTAAACAACCTTAAACCCACAGAGCTCGATATCTGTAACTATAACTTAAAATTCTAAGTCATTAGGTATTTTGTTATTCAAACAAATATCTTACGAGTTTTCAATGTTTTAATTTTAATTTTATACAGATTTTTTTTCTTTTAATAATTTTGTTTCAAGTTAAGATGTTTTTTGCACAAGAATTAATCCTAAATTATGTTTTTCAGAAGGCTTAACAATTGCTGGAAAAGGGGCATTAACATCTGTAAATAACCTTAAACAAGTTGTACGAAGGGTTCGGCGGCATAATGGTCCACAAATCCCTGTTGCCCCATTAACATTGATGGAATTAGAAATCCCTGAAGAATATAAAGAGTATGAAGCTGAACCAGGGCAGTTTGAAAATTTTCTGCTCTGTGATACAGGACCTGGCCCTAATAGGGTTATAATATTTGGACGCCAAAGAGGATTAGAGGTATAAAAGTGAACATATTTAACGTAGTATTTGGATTGTTTTACGAATAGAAAAAATGGTATTTTAAAATAATATATTATACACTATTCTACTGAAGATAATTATACCTTGATAATAATTAGATTTATTACATTATTTAGACTTTTTAGAAAAAAATAATTTAAAATATATTCATTTGTATTTTGTATGTTATAATTTAGATACTTGCGACAAGCAATGAGTGGTTTGTGGACGGAACATTCAAGATCGCCCCAATCCTCTTTTCCCAGGTTTTTGTTATATTAGGCAGTCGCAATGGTGGTGTCCATCCATGTTTATATGCACTTTTGCCAAATAAGAACCAGGCAACATATAATACACTTTTGGTGGAAATTAAAAATCTAGCTCCAGGAATAAACGCTGGAAGCATTTCTGTGGATTTCGAGGTCGCAATTCATAATGCTTTTAGAACAGAATTTCCTGACATTGAAATAAGAGGATGTTTTTTTCATCTTATACAAAATATGAAAAAACAAGTTGCAGCTGTAGGATTAATGGCGTAAGTTATATGTTTAATTTTATTTAAATGGAACATTATATTATGATAAATTGATCATAGGGTTTAGGTAATTTGAGAAATATAATTCAGAACAATGCTTTTAAATCACAAAATTTGATTCATATATAATAGAATTAAAATTTTAAAAGTTTAACAAATAAAAAGCATTAAGAGGACGTCAAGGAGGACGTTAACCCACATGTGTTGTCTCTGTTCTCTTTTAAAATATATATATGACATGTTGGTTCTAGTTTTAATACCTACTAAATTAATACATAAATCCCTTTTGAATAATTGGGTATAAAAATAAGGCATGCATATTAATTTAGTAAAATATAATACCTAAATTGATATACTTAAATATAACTCCATTTTAGAGAATACAGAAATGATCCAGACTTCAATTTACATGCTCGGATGATTACGGCGTTAGCATTTGTCCCTCCAGAAGATGTAGCTGCTTGTTTTGAAACGCTGAGCATTTTTATCGAAGCAGTTTTTCCATCATTACAGCCAATCCTTGATTGGCTAGAAACTTATTATATTGGAATGCTCAGAAGGGAAGGTGTAAGGAGAACACCAGTTTTTCCTATTCCCACTTGGAATCTATATTATAGAGTTTTAGCAGAACAAATGGTATGTTACATTTAAAACCCTTTCTTCTTTCCTTCATATGCAATTAGGAAAAATTAGATTTTATCTGAAAAAATAAAAGCAAATTAATTTCTTATCTTAAAACAACATTACAAATGTATCTTTTATACATTTTAATTTCCAGTAAAAGCCTTTTTTTTAAATTAGTATAAATGAATATAAACAGTGTACGGTACTATACTCTTTTCAGAATAAGAACGCACCAGACGGCCACGGGCAAAATCGGTTTTGCTATGTAAATCTGGTGCGTTCTTATTCTGAAAAGAATCTATAACAAAAAAATATTCAAATGTGAAGTTTAAAAAGGTTAGATGAGCACATGTATTTTTGTAGAGGTATACAATCTCAATAAGTTATCTAAAATCTCTCAACAATTTAAAATTTAAAAAATATAATCCATTACAAAAATATGTTAACTTTTTATCATTTTCATTAAGATTATAAATAAATTACCATCATAATGTATAATTTAAATATTTATACAAAAACTGTTTAATTCCTCAATAACAAAATTATAATAATTTATGTACCCGTATAGGCCGTATACATAATACATATTATAATATTATAATTTTTCTTAAATTAAAACATATAAATAGTAATGATATGAATAGTAATATAAATTATAATGATATAAAGTTATAGGTAATATTTAGGTATATAAACATTTTTACATTATTTAAATGTTTAAATTCATATTCTAATCATGCAAGTTTATGATATCCAATAAATCATCCATAACAAGTTAAAACAAACTAATTAATTAACTTTAGTTAATAACTAATATTATAAAAATATATAATATATAATATTACCTTTCAGTGTTATTATACATATTTAACTCACTATAATCATATTACTGGAGTTACATTTTAAATTAGAATAGTATAATTGTAGGTACTTACAAATAATAATAATAATTTTTGTTTTTTGTTTTATGATTTGGTAATCTGTGCAAACAGAAAACGAATAATATTGCAGAAGCATCTCACAGGAGACTCCAAGCACAGTTGAGCATGTCAAACCCAACAATTTGGAAATTTATAATAGAACTCAAAGTGCAAGCAGAGCGGGATATCTATTATGAATTCCTTGTTGCAGGTAATCAACCACCTCCTTCAAAAAGAAAGTTTGTTGATGCTGGAAATCGTATTCTGCACTTAGTTCAAAACTATAGAAACCGCCAAGCCATCGAGTACCTAAGAGGATTGGCACATAATTTTATAATGGATCAGTAAAACAATAACTAAATAATTCATAATAATATATCTAAATTTATAAAATACCTTTTAACATTTTCCTTTGTATATTGAATATAAATACTCATTAAATGCACTCCTAATATCTCCTCCAATTAAATTGTTAACTTTAGTTACAAGAAATCAAGGATTCGACTTTTTTCATGAACAAAACATCACCAGATTTCTTACAATAGAAGGTAGAACCACAGAATAGATGAAATTCACCTGGTGCAAATTGTATAAATGATTTTGACCAAATATTATGCTCAGTTGAGCCATCCTCTAGTAAATCTCTTATTCTAGAAGAACCAAACAAAGAACTATTTATGTTTAAAGGTATTCCTGTAGGTACAGTTGACTACAGACATTTAGATTTACCTGAAATAAACACATTTACCTATGTGTGTGGGTATTTAATGAAAAAATGTCTGGAAAAACATACCTGTGATATTTGTATTGAGTATGCTCGGTACCAAAAACAATTGGATAAATCCTTTCTACTATCATTTATTAAAGCATATTCTACTAATAACCATTCCACATTTGGAAATTTGATGATGCCAGATGATGATTTTTATAATTTTATCTTTGAATTAGAGAATATATTCATCAATAACTTTCCCTCTATTGCCTATGAGGAAGGCGTTGGGGCTAAGTTGAAAATTGATTTTTCTAATGTACCGTATGATCATCCCTGTGAATATTTTGAAAAATCATATTTAATAAATTTATTTACACGCTTCAGAATTTTTACAGGTATCAAATTTTTAAACAGGGCTTTAGTTTCAGAGAAGAAATTGAAAAATAGAAAGTTAACAGTACTACAACATTTATAAAACTATTTACCTTTTTTTTAGATTCTGAGCGAAGCGATGAATGTATTGATTTTACAATGATGTGTGTTTTTTTTTTTATTTTTTTTTTTTTTATTTATTTTTTTATTTTTGTGTCTGTCATCACCTTTTAGGACAGTAAAAATGCTTGGATTTTCTTCACAGTAACTTTTCTGATAGGAAAGTGAATCTATCTTGGGGGGTCAAAGGTAAAAATGTCCAAGTAGTTTTCAAAAGCGACGTGAAAAACATATGAAAAATTAAGGAAAAACGGGAATTTTTACGCAAAATCTATTTTGGTTTTTGGTGTAACTCTAAAACAAATAACCGTAAATGCATGAAATGTTCACTGGTTGTTTATATTTACATTTTCTATACACCATAACATTTTCCAAATATTTTGACTTATTTTGAGCTCTTTACGGACATTTTCAGTTTCCATTTTTTTTAGTTTTTTTTTCTATAAATATCAATAAAATTTTATTTGTTGGTTAAAAAAGCTTGAAAATGAATTCAAGGCTCCTAGTTTATTGTTTCAAAGGCAGATGAAAAAAATCTGAAAATCCATAGTCACAATTTATTTTTATGAATATTTAAAGTTCAAATATTGGCAAAATACGTAAAAATTACGAAAATTTGCAAATTATTTTGAGTTAGAAATCCTTAAAAATTTTTTTTTAAACCTAAGATTTAAAAATGTAATTCAAGATTCCTCATAAGTTTGTCTACGTTTATCAGCAAAAAAATATATACCAGAAAGTCAAATTTAATTTTTATGAGCGTTTGAAGTTCATATTCTTACAACATTGGATATTCACTTGATTTCTCATGTAGCGATTTTGTTATTTTGTTGTAATTCAAAAACAAAAAACTGTAGATACTTGAAAATTTCACTGAATGTTTATATTAGCATTTTCTATACACGATAAAATTTTGAAAATAATTTGACTCTTTTTGAGCTGTTTACGGACATTGTCAGTTTTCAATTTTAATAGTTTTTTTTTTCTATAAATATCAATACAATTTTATTTGTTGGATAAAAAAGCGTGAAAATATAACGCAAGGCTTCTGATATAATGTTACAATAACAGTTGAAAAATATAAAAATACATAGGCATAATTTTTTTTTATTAGCATTTAAATTTTTGTTATACAATATAGTATATACCTGATAGCAAAAAATGTTGATCAAACATTAATAAAAAAATAAATACATTCTTTACCTAAGATTACTATTATTATATAATATATATATTATTATTATCAGGCTACTGCAGGGAAAATATACTTTTTAAGTTTGTTGCATCATTGTACATTTAAATGTGTTCCTGAAATGGTGACCTATCGATTCCATTACCAATTTTTGCATGTGGTCATCGTGATTAATCCTAAACTTGCTTAATAGTTTAAATTCAAATTTGCGATCGGTAGATTTTAAATGCACCCAAAAAAGGAGTATATTTTCTTACTGACAAGTAAACACCACAGAAAATCCATTGGTTATGCCTTATGTTATGTATTTATGTAAGTTGAGTAATCAATACAAACACTTGTGTGAACAATGAATATATTATAATCTATGATCCATAAATATATAAGTACACTACAATACAATAAAAAAGTCACAAAAGAGTGAATTGTACCCAATATTAGTTGAATATGTATCTTATTAATATCTAAAATAATTTATCCAGACCAGAATAAAATTAACTATTTTATTAATGTAGGCATGGGATGATAAAATAAAGGAAGGTAGGTATTAATAAATCAGAAAATAAAACTAGTATGTAATAGTACTGTTGTTATCGGTTGTTGCGATTTTGTTGGGCGAACGCATATGTGGCGCTCATAGCGGAATTTCTCTATTATGGCGACGATAATCGAATCATAATTTTATATGGACGAGATAGCAGAGAGCAGCCCCGTGATCACAGCTGATATATAAAATATTTGTTGATATAATTAGATAAGATATAGATAAGATACAAGGTGGATATCTCGTTATAGATGGTTATAGTGCGCTGTTTGCAATAGTGTCCTGTTTTTATCAGCAGCTGACCGGGCACTGGCCGGTGCCAGCCGGCGGATGCGTTTATTTTCCACTTTGCAGCAAGATAATAATATATACTTATCTATGCTTTGCAGCCTGCAGGCGCAAATAGTAAATACCGCCGATCGGCATATTAATTATTTAATAATCTTAAACAATTTACAACTAATACTGAACATTTATTAAAATGAGTAAAAACAACAAATGTTTTGTTCCGGGTTGTGATATTGGGAATAAAAAACATAGGAAGGAACATACAGCTTTGACTCCCAATGTTAAGTATCCATCACTTTTTGCAGCTCCTAAAAATGATTTAAATATATAAATACAATAAAATACATATATTATGTAAAAGTATAATATTAAACTAACAACGTTAATCAAAATGTATAGGATTTATTTGATGAATGGAGTAAATGTATTCCTAGAGCAGACCTTTATGTCGGACTGATAGAGTGTGTGAACGGCATTTTTTACCAATTTAAAGTGACATAAGTGACACGGAGTGGTGACCAGTACAAAGTGTCATAAGTACGACATTACGTTAATATCTTAAACCAATATTCACGTCTCGGACGAAAATATAAGCCAAATAACCGATTTAATTAAGTATGTTTATAAAATTGATATAATGTTTAAAATTAAAATATCAATATCAATATCAAAAAGCTCCAATATTATTTAAGTCAAATAGAACCATTTTAGAATTAATACAACTATATCGTCGTATAGAAACATAATATATCAACATTATCAACACACTTTTTATAAATAGGTATAAGAAATAGGTATATCATATAACGTAATAGCTAGGTACTTTTACCATTTTTTAGAATTATCCTGAATGGAATGAACCCAGTGGTGTATTGGTAAATATATTTATGGTAATACACACCAATAAAATATGTATGTAACCTAAACGATCAAATTATATCATCGTATATATTATATATTATATAACGTTATTGCAGTTCAATTAGTACATAGTTTTTAACATTATTTTATTAATTTTTTAATAATGCAACAGTAGAAAATAAAACAAAATCAACTCGAATGTCAAACAAATTAATATTAATATTATTTAATTAAATTTAGATCAATATTATTTATTTAATTTAATTTTCATACACATATGCAATACTGGGCCCCACTGAGAAAACTCGTGTGGGGGCCCAGGAGTTCGAAAAATAAATTTCGTACAGAATACAGGTACAGAAAAAAAAAGGTGGGCAAGTGGGTGTAGCTCTGCTGTACAGTAGGTTACAAGTGGGTCACTGTATAATGGATGATATTAAATTTGAATTCAACGATCTAATATCATTGTATAAGAAAAACGATTCTGAGCGCAGACGGTATGTCAGTCTATGTATAAGACATATTATATACATATCTATGGTATTAAACAAAAAATTGACCTATAATGGGTACCTATAATAAATTCCAAATTAATCATATCAAAATATCCATTAGGTACTTATAACGCGTTATACATCAACAAAAACCGTGATACTATCATAGATATATAATAGTACACTTTAGAAGTTTCAAGTATCCACGAATAATATTATTCAATCACAACAAAATAACTAAAATAGTAAAATAGTTATTCTAGGTTTTTTAATATGTAATTTCGTCCAAATTTGAATTTAAAATGTCTGTAAAAAATAACTGTGTTCATATATTTTTTAGATTTTTTAGTTACAGTATGAACTATTTACGAGAACCTTTGTGTTGAATTTGCAATCCTTAGCTATAAAAACTGAACATTTTATAATTTATTAATTACAATGATTGATAATTTACGAGATTTTGATAAATTTTGTCAAAATTTGATCTTTAAATGCTTATAAAAAAAAACTGTGCCTATGTATTTTTAATATTTTTCAACTGATATTATAACAATATATCAGGAGCCTTGTATTAAATTTTTACACTTTTTGGCCCAACAGATAAAACTTTATTGATATTTATAGAAAAAAAAACTAAAAAAAATTGAAAGCTGTAAATGTCCATAAACAGCTCAAAAAGAGTCAAAATATTTTCAAAATTGTATGGTGTATAGAAAATGCTAATTTAAACATTCAGTGAAATTTTCATGTATCTACAGTTATTTGTTTTTGAATTACAACAAAATAAGGAAATCGCTACATGGGAAATCGAGTGAATATTCAATGTTGTAAAAATTTGAATTTCAAACGCTCATAAAAATTTAATTTGACTTTCTTATAAACATTTTTCTTTTGATAAAGGTAGACAAACTTATAAGGAATCTTGTGTTTAATTTTCAAATCTTAGATTTAAAAAGAAAAATTTTTACGAATTCTTAACTCAAAATAATTTGCTAATTTTCGTGATTTTCCCATATTTTGTCAATTTTTGAACTTTAAATGCTTATAAAAAAAAATTGTGACTAAGGATTTTTAATATTTTTCATCTGCCTTTGAAGCAATATATTAGGAGCCTTCTATTAAATTTTCAAGCTTTCGCAACCAACAAATAAAATTTTATTGATATTTTTAGAAAAAAAACTAAAAAAAAATGGATAATGAAAATGTCCCTAAACAGTTCAAAATAAATCAAAATATTTTGAAAATGTTATCGTGTATAGAAAATGCAAATATAAACAACCAGTGAAAATTTCATGTATATACGTTCATTTGTTTCAGAGTTACACCAAAAACCAAAATCGATTTTTTGGAAAACCAATTTTGCGTAAAAATTCCCGTTTTTCCTTAATTTTTATGTTGTTTTTCCCGGCGCTTGTGAAAACTACTGGGAAATTTATACTTTTGACCCCCCAAAGTACCAACTAGATTCACTTTCCTATCAGAAAAGCTACTGATGAAGAAAATCCAAGCACTTTTACTGTCCTAAAACGTGATGACAGACACAAAAAAAAATAAAAAAATAAAAAAAAAATAAAAAAAATAAAAAAAAAAATAAAAAAACACAC